GCCGCGCGAGGAAGTTGTTCCGTCTCTCCGTCGAGGGCGACTCTTTGGTTTTCTGCAAAGGAGGGGGGGGGAGGGGGGTTATTGAGGTGGTTTGCTTTGAGGTGTTTGGTGTGGGGAATAGGGTTACAAATTAATAATAACCACAAAATAACAACAACGATAACCATAACAACACTGATAACATAACCACAAAAGATAATATATATATAATATAATATAAAAGGTATGTACGTATATGCATAGATACGTACGTACATGGATATATACATAGATACATGTACATGTATGTACATATACACATGTATACTAGTAAGCCTACATATCTTATACGTAAATACACATTTTATACCTAAATACACATTCACACATATCCATATCCACACACACACAGTCTCCTCCACTCCCCTCCCCCCTCAACTCACACACACACACACACACACACACACACACACACACACACACACACACACACACACACACACACACACACACACACACAGCACATCACACGTAATAGACAACGCCTGAGATGTTGATTTGCAATATTGCTTCCTCTGCGGTCTGCCTTCCCCACCAGCGATGTGACTTGCACGTTGTTCGCCCGCTAACGTGTTCTCTCAAATCGAAAAATGAACAGTGTTACGTGTGAACAACCGGGGGTCTACCGGCGTGAAAATAAGATATATTGTTCGTGATTTTACAGTCTGCAAGTTGATTTAAATACGGTGGTTATCGGCTATAAAGAAAATGTTTTTGGGTGGATATCTTGAACAGAAGCATGACACATACACCAAAAATGCCTATTTTGAACACAAACGAATATATGTTTGTTATTTATTTTATTTAATTTATTTATTTATTTATTTTTTGCCTCTTATATTCTGAGCACGTGTTTATGTAACAATTTCATGCAAAGTAGGCAGGCATTGCCCATAAATCTAAATACTGAGTCGATCATTTTCAATATCAATAGTTATCGTTATCATGCTACTTCCTGCCTCCCAATACATATATATTATCGAAATGAATGAAATAATATACGCTTACTACACCCCATAATAATAATAACAATAACAATAACAATAATAATAATAATAATAATAATAATAATAATAATAAAGATGAAAATAAGATATCTTTTTAAACCTCCGCCTACATATCTAAGCCAATCTATCTACATATGACACAATTATTTCTATCTTTCTATTTAACTATTTATAGGCCACTTATACCTAAATGTATATATCATCGTGACTGGAATCCAAAGCATTACCAGTACTTTTTATCTCTCACATAGGCCTACAATAATCTAACTCATACACAAACGCTAGTTGAAATAGGGGCAATACTAATTTAGACAGCCGCACTATATATACAAAGGAAAGTATAACAGAATTATTGACTTGAGTTCGTAGATGTCGGGGAAGTTAATAAAATTGTGGGGACCTCACTGGTTGTGCTTTAAGTAATTGAAATTCAAAAGTTGTCTCTCTATAGTCCACAAACATCGTTGTCTCGGACCGTCTCGAATGAAAACAATACTGTGAGCTTTCTGCAATATACAAAATACGGGGGTTTGGAAGGTTAGGTTAGGTTAGGTTAGGTTAGGTTAGGTTAGGTTGGTTAGGTTACGTTAGAAATTTCGTTATGTTAGGTTAGTTAGGTTAGGTTAGGGTTACAGGTTAGGTTAGGTTAGGTTAGGTTACGTTAAGAAATTTCGTTAGGTTAGGTTAGGTAGGTTAGGTTGTTAGGTTTGTTAGGTTAGGTTAGGTTAGGTTGTTAGGTTACGTTAAGAAATTTCGTTATGTTAGGTTAGGTTAGGGTTAGGTTTTGTTGGTTAGGTTGGTTAGGTTAGGTTAGGGTTACGTTAAGAAATTTCGTTAGGTTAGGTTAGGTAGGTTAGGTTTGTTAGGTTTGTTAGGTTAGTTAGGTTAGGTTTAGTTAGGTTGGTTAGGTTACGTTAAGGTTAGGTTTGTTAGGTTAGGTTAGGTTTTGTTAGGTTAGGTTGGTAGGTTAGGTTAGGTTAGGTTACGTTAAGAAATTTCGTTATTAGGTTAGGTTAGGGTTAGGTTTGTTAGGTTGTTAGGTTAGGTTAGGTTAGGTTAGGTTAGGTTAGGTTAGGTTGGTTAGGTTACGTTAAGAAATTTCGTTAGGTTAGGTAGGTTAGGTTAGGTTAGGTTAGGTTTTGTTAGGTTAGGTTAGGTTAGTTAGGTTAAGAAATTTCGTTAGGTTAGGTTAGGTTAGGTTTGTTAGGTTAGGTTGGTTAGGTTAGGTTAGGTTGGTTAGGTTACGTTAAGAAATTTCGGTTAGGTAGGTTAGGTTTGTTAGGTTTAGGTTTTGTTAGGTTAGGTTAGGTTAGTTAGGTTAGGTTAGGTTTTTGTTAGGTTAGGTGATCAGGTTACGTTACGTTATTAGGTTAGGTTAGGTTAAGTTAGGTTAGGTTACGTTACGTTAAGAAATTTCGTTAGGTTAGGTTACATTAAGAAATTTCGTCGGGATTTCGGCAACATTGACACCGGCGCATCCCGCAGCGGCGCCGGAATCTCGTTCGGATTATGCATTTTGTTTCAAAATTTTCACTTTTAATTCGACTATTTCTTCCGTGTGTGCCCCCCCCCCCCGCCCACCTCCAACCCCCAATTCTCCACGGGTCACCCAAGATTGAAGGGGATAGGAGAAAAACAAACAAATAGGCGCGGCTGTCTTACTTAGATTTACCGAAATAGGAAAGAAACACTAATGATGACGATAAATAAACTACGAAATGTAAAAACGGTAAACTAAAAACAAACAAATGAATAAAGAGATTAAATAAAATAAAAATAATGAACATAAGTAAATCAACATCACTTTCGATGAATAAACAAATAATTCAATAAATAATTAAACGATTAAGCTTATCTCCCGACGTAAATAAATAAAACTGATTACGTTTTCATCACATTTTCAAGTAAACAAGAAGTCAGTTAATTTTGCCTTCTCGAAAATTCAAATCTTCTCTCACTGATAAAAAAATCATAATCCTGACCCTGCCCCCAATAAAAAAAGAAAACACAACTACAATAACAACAATAATAATAACAATCACAACTATTATTATAAAAACTAACAGACTTTACACTACCTTCCACGTGCGCATTTCCCCAAGCAAAGAAGAAAAACAATTGACGATCACCCTCACCTTTCCTAGACTACGTATTCTTTCCTCAAGCAATAATACAATAGAAAGTCAACCTCATCTTCTCAAAATCTGCGCCACCAACGAAGGAAAAAGGAGAAAATGCTCGTCCTTGGGCCAGGCGTGTTGTCAGCTGCCGCCATGTTGGTTTTTCGGATCGCGTTCGTTCCCGCCTTTTCTGCTCCGTTTTCTTTACTTTTTTTCTCTCTCTCTTTATTTATTAATTTATCTGTTTATCTATTGATTGATTTTTTGTTTATTTATCTACTTTCTTTTTTGCTTATTTATTAATCATTTTGTCTATTCATGTATTTACCTATCATTTATTTGTCTATTCATGTATCTATTTATTAATTTATCTATTTGCTCATTTATGTATTTGTCTATCTATTCATTTATTCATGTATTTGTCTTTTTATTTATTCATTTAGTTATCTATCTACTCGTTTATCAATTTATTCATATATATATTGAATAATTTACTTTTAACAATACACGTGAAGCTGTCAATGTATATGGCATGAAACGGCGCCAATTGACGGTTAAACGGATGTGGAAAAAAAAATCATATTTGTATTTTATCTTCAATTTCCAGTTTGTGTGTGTGTGTGTGTGTGTGTGTGTGTGTGTGTGTGTGTGTGTGTGTGTGTGTGTGTGTGTGTGTGTGTGTGTGTGTGTGTGTGTGTGTGTGTGTGTGTGTGTGTGTGTGTGTGTGTGTGTGTGTGTGTGTGTGTGTGTGTGTGTGTGTGTGTGTGTGTGTGTGTGTGTGTGTGTGTGTGTGTGTGTGTGTGTGTGTGTGTATGTGCGTGTGCGTGTGCGTGTGCGTGTGTGTGTGTGTGTGTGTATGCGTGTGCGTGTGCTTGTGCGTGTGCGTGTGCGTGTGCGTGTGTGTGCGTGTGCGTGTGCGTGTGAGTGCGTGTGTGTGTGTCCGTGTTATTACCCAAACGACTGTTCGTACAAAGTGCAGGCATGTGCTTGACTTACGCACGAGTAACGAGTAAATTCACCCAGAAACTGAAAAAAAAAAAAAAAAAAAAAAAAAGTAAACAAAACCCAACGTTCAACCTCGCCTTCCCAGAGTACATGACAAAAGCTAATCAATCTCTGATTGCGTAGCGCTTCCTCAAGCAAAAACAAACAGCCGAGCTTATAAATAAATACATAACTACATAAACAAAATATGAATCGATAAATAGATAAATCAATAAATAAAAACAAATGAATAAACAAAATCAAATCGATAAATTAACAAAAATAAGAACAAATAAACACACGTCGATAAGAGAATAAATAATACACCCATACCTCCTCAAAACCAAAAATAAATAAAACAAAAAGAAAACATACAACACAAAAAATGAAAACAGACAAAAAAATAAAAACAAAACAAATAAAACCGAAACTAAAAAGATTTAAAAAAGCAAAACCAAAATTCTCGACTCCTTAAAAAAAATAATAAAACAAAACAAATAAAACTAAAACAAAACTTATACAAACAAATAAAATGATAACAACAACAATAAAAGCAAGATAGATAAAAGCAAAACCAAAATTCTCGACTCCTCAAAAAAAAAAATAATAATAATAAAAAAAAATAAACAAAAACAAAACAAAAATAAAACTAAAACTAAACCTATACAAGTAAAACAAAGAAAATAACAAAAACAAAAACAAATCCTCACCTTCTCGAGACTCCTCCTCAAAAAATAATAATAAACAAAAACAAAACAAATAAAACTAAAACAAAACCTATACAAGACAAAGAAGTAACAACAATAACAAAACAAAAACAAATCCTCACCTCGAGACTCCTCCTCAAAAAAAAATAATAATAATAATAATAATAAATAAATAAATAAATAAATAAAATATAATAATAATAAAAACTAAAACAAAACATATACAAGTAAAACAAAATAAAATAACAACAATAACAAAAAACAAAAACAAATCCTCACCTTCTCGAGACTGCGCACTTTTTCCTCCAGCTTCCTCGTGATGGTTGCCAGTTCGGAATTTTTCTTCTTGAGGACCTGCACTTCCCTCTGGCGGTGGCGCTCCTTCTCCCGGAACTCCAGGGGCCGCTCGAGTTCCACCTCCATCTTGTTTTTCTGGAGGACGAGGTAAAAAAATAAATAAAAAGGGTTATTATTGTTGTTTTTATTATCATTTTAGTTGTTGTTGTTGTCAATTTAGTTACTATTGCTGTTGTTAGGTTCGTTGTTGTTGTCATAATTGGTATTGTAGTTGTTATTGATGTTGTTAGGTTTGTTGTATTTTGTAACTTGTAAATACTGTTATTATTATTGTTATTGTTCTTGCTGATAGTGTTGTTAGCTGTTTTATAATCTGTAAATATTATATTATCATTGTTATTAATGCATTTTTACCCTTATCATTGTCAATAATTTAAATTCCATCATAGTAAACTTTCTAATTTTGCTTATCATTGCTGTTGATAATGTTATAATCATAATTACGCCCATTTCCTAACATTTCTAACGATTCAATTATAAAAACACAAGACGGCAAGCATTTTAGTAGCCAATGTAATACCTTTTTGGGTGTTTTCTATAGTTTCCCCTTAAAGTAGATTTTTAGCTAATACGTTTTCTGTGAAATGGGAAGATGGCCGTTCAACTGAAGAGGATGAAGAATAGCAACACAACTATGTATGTATGGTTCTCCCTCTTCCTTTTTCTTTCTTACTCCGACTCCAACTCCCTTGGCCACTCTCCTTCTCTTTCTCCAACTCCCTCTACCTCTCCCCCTCCCCTCTCTCTCCTACTCCTTTCCCTTTCCCACTCCCATCCCATTTCCTCCCCCTGTCCCTCTTCCTCCCCACTCCCTCGCTCTCCCATTCCCTCTGCCTCTCCCTCTCTTACTCCCTTCCCACCTCCCCCTAGTACTCCACACCCCACTCCCTCTCCTCCAATTTCCACTCCCACTCACTCCCCCACCCCTCCTTCCATCTCCCTCCTCCACTCCCACTCTCTCCTCCACTCCCTTCCATCTCCCCCCCCACTCCCACTCTCTCCTCCACTTCCATCTCCCTCCCACTTCCACTCCTCCTCCCCCTTCCATCTCCCTCCCCTTCCTCCACTCCCTTCCATCTTCCTCCCCCACTCCCCTTCCCTCCTCCACTCCCCCTTCCATCTCCTCTCCCACTCCCCTTCCTCCCCACTCCCACTCCTCTCTCCGTTCCCCTCCCAGCCTCCAACTTCCCCCTCTCTCTCCCTCACTCCCCTCCCACTCCTCCACCACACACAAAAACAAAACAGATTCAACCTCGCCCAACAAATTCAAAATGGCGACCATCTGGCCCCGCGCTTCAACTGTCACAACAACGGTAAGTGAAGCTTCAATTATGATCAATGCTTCGTAAAAATTGCTAATGAATCTGGTCATTGGTTATTTGTGGAGACGCGTGGGGGGGGGAGTTCTGTTGTGGGGAGGGGGTGGGTGGGGGGTGAGGTTTATTTAAGTGTGTTTTTTGTTTCTTTATTTGGAGGAGGGAGGGTGGGTGGATGGGGTGGGGGGAGGGAGGGAGGGAGGGAGAGGAGGGAAGAGAGAGAGAGAGAGAGAGAGAGAGAGAGAGAGAGAGAGAGAGAGAGAGAGAGAGAGAGAGAGAGAGAGAGAGAGAGAGAGAGAGAGAGAGAGAGAGAGAGAGAGTGAGAGAGAGTGAGAAGAGAGAGAGAGAGAGAGAGAGAGAGAGAGAGAGAGAGAGAGAGAGAGAGAGAGAGAGAGAGAGAGAGAAGAGAGAGAGAGAGAGAGAGAGAGAGTGAGAGAGAGAGAGAGAGGAGAGAGAGAGAGAGAGAGAGAGAGAAGAGAGAGAGAGAGAGAGAGAGAGAGAGAGAGAGAGAGAAGAGAGAGAGAGAGAGAGACAGGAGAAGAAAGAGAGAGAAGAGAGAGAGAGAGAGAGAGAGAGAGAGAGAGAGAGAGAGAGAGAGAGAGAGAGAGAGAGAGAGGAGAGAGAGAGAGAGAGAGAGAGAGGAGAAAGAGAGAGAGAGAGAAAGAGAGAAAAGAGAGAGAGAGAGAAAGAAAGAAGAGAGAAAGAGAGAGAGAGAGAGAAGAGAGAGAGAGAGAGAGAGAAAGGAAAGTATCCATCTATCTCAGTGCATATAACTGCATGAGCTTACATATGTACATTTACGTATGCAAATATCAAAACGACAACCGCCAATAGGCCTACATTTACACCTAAAAACCAAAACAAGCAACGAAAACAACAACAAACAAACACAAAAAACCATCGCTTCTCAACCGACCGCATTTTCCCGAAGCCTAAATAACCGCCTCCCTCATACCTCATTCCTCATACC